GTGGCTGACTAAATACTTATTTGCCCTACTGTACTTTATAGCCTTAAATGTGCCTCTCTATTGTGTTCTACTCTCTTCTGGAACGCTGATAATGTAAAACAAGCCATGCAAATGTGTCCTCTGCATTGATCTGAATGGAAGATAACCTTAACCAGAGCAACAACTAGCACGGTGATAAAACCAGCCTGACATTATGAGCCTGTGAAACATGCCACTGCTTGCCATGTACGTGGGTTTCATCAGCGCTCACTTAGAGCAAATTGCAAGACATAGAGATGTCTGCAAGTGATACCGAAGATAACACAGATGGTTGTTCTGCACAGAGTTAGCAGTGCCTTTTCCTCTTGGGCCTGATTTCTTATCTTGTTTTGGAGGGGTTTTTTTTTTTTTTGGGGGGGGGGGGGGGGGTTGAGAGAACAAACACAAAAACAAAAGATTCCACTGTGATATTTGAACCAGAACCTCTCTGTTAAAGTTCACGCAACCAAAGTAGAGTTGGCTAACATGACTAGCATTCAGCTCTGTGCTCATAATTTTACCACGTCTGCTGCCACACTGGCTGACTTGAACATTGCAATTGCTGTCACTGCTGCTGCTGTCTGCAATGAGACAGCTCTGCGAGGCAGACATGACAACCAAATAAAAAAGGTTTTAACAGAAAAGACTGTAATACAAAATCTATTAGACTTAATTTGAAATTCTGGTAGAACTATAATATAATATAGTATTTGTTCTAAAATTAAAGTATAATTTGTATTTACCTACAAATATTTACTGATAGATACACTAGTAATGATTCAAGTTTTTAGTGCGAAGAAGAAATAATTATACTGTAAGTAATTTGAATTATACTTTAGGTATATTGCAGGAAAGGAGAAATAACTTTAAGTAGTTCATAACTACTTAACAGTTACGCACAGGTAAGAGTCTCACTACCTCTTGGTGAGTAGTTTGCATTGGCAGATATATCAACATTGTACACATCCTGAATGTAATGATGTCATTCCATAATATTTGGATTGTATGTTTTAATAGATAGATAGATAGATATGAACTTAGCCTCTGTGTGGACATAGGATAGTCTCTCTCACTACTCCAATTAGGAAGCCGCAAAAAGTTGAAAACTGCCCTCTGTAACTCAACCATTCAGAAAAAAGCTGTTACAAAGCAGAGAGGTCTAATTACAGGACGAGGCTGATGCTCATTTCTGCTGAGCAGTTTTTATTAGTGCGCATGCACACACACACACACACACACACACACACACACACACAACACAAACACACACACACACACACACACGCACACACACACACACCACACACACACACACACACGACACACACACACACACACGCAAGCCCTTCAGGGACTATATATGGGACCCATAGAGTGACGTCTTGTGTGTTACAGAGTGGATATAGCATTTAAGATGAATTTCTTAACATTGCGCTGTCTCCTTCCTCTGCTACTTTTAAACTTTGTTTATTCTGGTGAGTTAATGAAAATTCCACTAAATGTGATACTTTAGATCTTGATATAAAGTACTGTGCACAGGCCTTGACCAATTCCTTATTGCTTCATAATTTCCTAGGGAATTAAGAAATAACTGCTTATTAAAATGTTTAAAATGTATACAATATAGTATATAAGGCAAAAACAGGGTTTTTTACAATTCTATGAATTTATTCTTCAACACAGCTTGAACCCTCTTGGTCAAACTTTTTTGTAAATTCTTTAAATAGTCTTCGGGAATATTTCTCCAGACTTCTTGAATGTCATTCAAAGCTCTTTTTTGGATGTTTCTGCCTTTTGTTCTGTTCTCTGTCAAGATGATCCCACGCTGGGCAGTCCATGACAGACAAATTTGGATTCATTCATCATCTTCAGTCACATGAGGATCAATCAGTTGTTTAGATAAAACAAAATATGGTTCACCTGTTCATATCACTAATCTGGCCAACAGAGCTAAGACGGTGCCAAGTTCTCCATTATTTTGCATAAATTATGTTTAGCTTATGATTTAGATTACAAACTATTCAAGTTTCGATTCATTAATTTAAGCAGTTTCACAGTTGTTTTTCTGTCCTATGTTTTTTTGTTTGTTGTTTTTTGCTAACAGGACAGATTCTGAGGATGATCAAGAGGCGTGCACGTGACAACCAGCTTCAGAAAAACAAGCAGCTTCTCCTGAAGCTCACAGTCAGTCTTCATCAGCCTCTCCACCACGTGAAGGAGGGTTGGATTGTCCAGCCCCTGGACCATTTCAACCAACAAAATAGCAACACCTTCCCTCAGGTAGAGGAACGCTGAGCAATGCTTTAATGCTTCACACCCCTGCCTGCACGTAAAGGTTATTCACTTAAAGGCAGTTAAAAGAAAAAGACTTAATGAGGGTTTTTTTTTAAAAAAACACCAAAACTTTTATGTAACTGAAAAATACATAAAATAATCATATGTGGAAAAAGGAAATTTTGCTATTGCTCTAGCAAAAATAACTTCTTACAGGTGTTTTGTAATGACTTTTTTGACATCTTTGATTCCCACTTGGATTCACATCTGAGTTTTTCACTGAATTTGGCAGCGTGTTTAGAATCTTTATCATTACAAAAGGTTCAGCTCAAACCTTCAGATAAACAATCTTATTATTTTCAAGCACTCGTTGACTTGATGCAGAAGAACATTTCCACCACAGTGTTTCATAGTTGGTTCTTCTCCCAAAATGCTATTTTTAGTATGCAGCAAACACATTTCCCTTCAGAGCACATCATTTCATAACGCCTGCTTTGTATGTGTAAAATTTGCATTTTTCGGTATCACCATTTGCAAGAGTTATTTACAGGTTCTCTGATAATATTTTGTGGTTCTTGAGAATTTCTATTTCAGGTTGTCTTTTCTCGCGCTGAATTTGCTGAAGCAGCCAGTCCAAGTCCAGACCAACTTCAAGTTTTGTTTCCTTTGTTTGAAATTTAGAAATCATTTTTTATTTTTTATCATTTTTTATTGTTAGACTAATAAGCTCAAGCTTGTCTTTGAAGGCCTCAGAGAGCTTCTTCCAACTTTGGCATGACATTTAAACAGACAAAATAATACAGCATGCCAGAGGTTTGATCAAAGATAGAGTAAGCCTGTCACTCCCTTAGGAGCATCTCGTCCCCTTTTTTAATATTTTGGATTTGAAATGGTGTGGTTATGTTATTAGGGATTTTTTTTTAAAGATAATGAAGAATATTACGAAATGTTAGTTTTTGATGTTATTTCCGTATATCGTCTTATCTTATCTGTAGGCATTGCATCAAAGAGAATCAAATGTCGGCTTGGTTAAATATGGACGATATCCATTTTCTACTTTTTAAATATGACTCTAAATTTACATTTCACTTCTGGGCACAGACCTCTCCAGTGCGAGTGCATGGTGCTGATAATTAAAGGCTTGATGTTTGAGAGGTCTTTGAAAATCTATGTTAACGATAAGAGAACTCTTCCATCAGTCAGATCCTGTGAACCAAAAGGAGGCCATAATTTATTTAAAGCACTGGAGAAGATGCCATCGTGTGATATTTCTGAAGACTGCTTGGATTGCAGTGATGTTGATAAAACAGATGCCCTGTCAGCTCAAATCGCAAAAAAGGCTGCGTGCAGCAGAGCAAGTGTCCCGTCCCACTGAACCCTGCTGCTTTCACTTTGTTGTGGAGATAAGAGCTAAACTGAGTTGCTGTGGTTCTTAAGAAGCAGAGAGTGAGCGGTCCATTCAGAGAAATGTAGACTAGATGAACCTTTTTCATCACTCCTGATTCAGCAGGGAGTGACAGGGTGGCGTTTCCTGACAGCATGAACTGAAATGTTCGGCCTCATTTAGCTCTTGCAGCCATTTGAGGCAGCCAATGTGCAAATTTTCCCACTCCAGCATCAAGTAAAGGATTACTCAGAGCAAGTCCTTGAATGTGCACTGCTGCCGGTTTGGGCGAGCATAAATAAAGCATGTCTTTCTTCTTGTACTTTTCTCAATGTCCTCCAGAGGTTCTTTGTGAATGAGGCATACTGGCAGCATCCTGATGGCCCGGTGTTTCTCTACATTGGGGGAGAAGGGCCCCTCGTTGAGTATGATGTTCTGACAGGTAGTGTAAAATACAGCACATATCGTCACCTGTTTGTGCCTTTCACAGATCAGACACGCATATGAAATCAGTGTTCAAAACACTCAAAGAACTGGCAACATAATGAATTAAGAATCAAACTTTGGAGGTAAAGTGATGCTCATCTGCGAGTATATCTGTGTTTTGTCTTTTTTGTACCCTAAAACTTGTTTTGTAAGTACCCGTAATCCCAGAGAAGCGTGTATAGGAGACATAGGAAAAAGTAGATGTTGGTACTGGGTTACAATTTTAAAACACACAGACACAGTGCTTCTATACTAAATTCACCTGTTATCATACTTTACTGCTAAAAATATACTGTGGAACAATTTTGTAATATACAGTAGATCACTAATCATTAATATTGCATAGATTGTTGTTTAACAAGGACAAAACTTTAAAGAAGACCTATTATATATTAATAGAGTCACTTTGCAAGATCTTTGAACTCCTCCTTCCTTCCCCTTTTCGTCCATTTTTCCTATAAGCAACCTTTCTTCTGATTGGCTTCCCCACATAAACAGAATACTTGAAAAGCTGGTAAGCAGAGCTTCAGTACTCATATAGCCAGAAAGTGTGTTGCAGAGATCGTCATATTAATGATATCCCATGTCACTAATACTCTGCACATTGCAATTCCCTCACGTTCTGTAACATCTTCCTGATCTGCTCGCCTCACCACCATGGGCTTTCAGCCGATTGGCCCCTTGTCTTTGCAACTCTCTCCACATTTGCGACACTGATTCTCTCCCTATCTTTAAAGCAAGCCTTAAAACAGACTTTTTTAAAACTTGCTTTTTCTGTTTAATTTTAATTTTATGAGCCTCTGATTTAATTTAATTCAGTCAGTTTGTCCATACTGTGATATTGTTATTTAATTGCTTTTACCATTGAGTGTCTTGAAAGGTGTATATAAATAAAATGCATACTTTTTATTATAGTTATCCCTTTTCTATGACATCATACAGATCCAATCACAGAAAAAAATGTCTAATACTGAGGATTTAGATCAGTCTGAAGCCTGTGAGCTTTATCCTCACAGCAATTACTACAACTTATACACTGACCTAATTTTTATAAACACCGGCCATGTTTAATATGAGCACAGACAGCAGTCACAGTGCATTTATGACAGAAAATAAGGAAAGTGATTAATAGGTCCAGCAAGGTCAGGGAGGAGGCTGTATTTGAATGGCTATAGCTATTAGCTACATGTAGATGTTGGTTTTTATAAATCATTAGTTCATTATTTTGATAATAGTTGAGATCATTTAGGATTTTTCTAAGCACAATGCCAAAATGATGGTTGACAAGAAATTATACTTATTTTCACAGCTAATTCAACACTATCATTTTGATATTTTCTTGTTTTTCACATTGTATGGCAGTACAGGCTCAATCATCACCGTCACCATTCATATATCAAGAAGATTATAGATGAAAAGCCTTTCTGATGGCACCACTGTCATATTTTAATGAAAAAATATATATATATCGAGAGTTCATTCATTCGTGTTTTCTGAAATTAGTCTTCAAATGTGCAAACAGTCTAGCCCCAGAGCCTCTTTCAAGAAATGACCAAAGAGAAGAAGAATCGTTAGGAGAATAGTGAACAGGAAGTGTAAAATATCACAGCAATATGGAGAAGATCAGCATTCTCTGTAAAAGCCTGTTATCTATAAACACACTTCCACCTGAAATCAAATTAATTACAGACCTTAAATCTTTCACGGTAAAGGTCAAAGTTCGTAAAAAAGCACAGAGCTGCAGCTATTTCAATTAATTAGAATTTCATAATTATTCATATTTTCTAGGAATCATGTTATAATCAATGCGTCTCTGTATGTCTTTTGTTAGATTTCTACATTTTGTGTCCAGTTAGTGTATATTTAACATAGTTTTGTATCTACAGTACATCGTGGTTCTATGTGATTGAATATTATAAACTTTTATTTATTAAACTGCATCATCTGGATTGTATAAAATTGATCAATAGTGCAAATAGTCACTAGTTACCACTTAATAGTTTCCATATTTTTGCTCAGACCGTAGCAGGACAGTGTAGCTGGACACATGACACTTTGTAACTTTTTAAAATTACACTCACTTTTAAGCCTCTCGTGTACCGTACCTGCATCTCTAAAAAAATATTAGGGCTTGCTTCAAAATGAATCTTATCTGCTTCGAACATGTTTTCCCAGGTCACCATAGTGACATGGCTGAAGAGCACGGTGCTCTACTTCTGGCTCTGGAGCATCGTTTCTATGGTGACAGCATTAACCCTGATGGCCTCAAAACAGAGAACCTGGCAGACCTAAGCAGCCAGCAGGCGTTAGTGCTGACTCTCTACCACTGTGTGTGTGTGTGTGTGTGCGTGGGTGTGTGTGTGGGTGTTCATCATGCAAATGTGTATCTTTCCCATCGTATTTCTCCTGCATATGAATGCACACCTGTCTATCTTAGGATTCATTAGGCCATAGACTATCAGTAATTTTATTTGTAAGTCAGGCAAATCTAATGTAATTTTGTACATTTGATTCCAAGTATCTCTCTGTCGTTTCATCTATCTGATTACATTTGTCTTCGTGACTTTTGTGCAGACCTCTTTAGATGCATGTGCACTTTATTTTTTGTAATTTGTTTCTTTTCATTCAGACTTACTGACCTGGCTGCATTCCACCAGTACATCAGCCAAAACTTCAATCTGACGCACAGAAACACATGGATCAGCTTCGGAGGCTCATACTCTGGAGCTCTATCAGCCTGGTTCAGAGGAAAGGTACAGGACATGGTTTACATATGGAAGCATTCAAAGATGCATAAGGCTTCAAACTTTAAAATACAGCACCTCACAATCTTTAAAAACTAATCCTATAAAAGACAGAGAAAGATTTTAGAGCTTATTGACTGTTCTTCTGGAACAACACTTCTTCTTCCTGATACTGTGACTGAGATATTTGTTCTATATCATTTTACAAAAACAGATCAGAGCAACATATTTGTATTTCATACTGACAGGAAAGATCTAGTTTAGGGAAAAACACAGCGTGAGTCATTTGTTTCCGAAGAACTGTAGACAGGCAATAATTCATAGATGCTCTTCTGTTTATACCCTGAGGAGATAAGAAAGTACTGAATCTCATCTTACTATATGAATGTATCACTTGCTTTTTTTTTTACTTACATTTTCAAGTCCACAAACTATAAGAAGATGATTCTTTAAGTGAATATTTGTGGTTACTCTTGTGCAATGATTTTCTAGACAAAGAGTTAATCAGTACCCTTTCTGAGGTCATGACGTTACTATGCTACCTCTATGGTTTTGTTAGTAAATCCCATAAAAAGACTAAAATCGACTACATTATAAAAAAGTGTTTCCCACTTCCAGATTTTTTAACATATCTTTCACATGTTGAATTGCATATTTTAGATAATCTAACTAATTTTAATATTAGCCAAATATAAGCAGAGTACATACAAAATGCAGTATTTTAAATAGTGATTTCAGGTAATGGGGGAGGGGGGGGGGAGCTCACCAAAGCTTTTCTGGACTTTACCAGAAAATCCTGAAGGAGAATGTCTGGCCGTCACGGTTTGGAGTGGCCTAGTCAAAGTCCAGACTCATGATGTTTGGCATGACCTTAAAGAGGCCGTTCATGCTCAAAAATCCTCCAGTTCCTCCAAAGTGATGTGAAAGACTCATATTATTAGTTATCAAAAACATTTGATTGCAGTTCTTGCTGCCAAAGGTGGCACAACCAGTTATTAGTTTTAGTGGGCAATTACCTTTTAAAAAGAGGATCATGTAGGTCTGGATAGCTTTTAATACACTAAAAAAACTACTTCTTAAAAGCACTTAACCAATAAATAAATATTCAAAACTGCAATTTTGTATTTACTCTGGTTATCTTTGTTTAATATTAGAATTTCTTTGATGATCTGACACTTGCAAATGTGAGAAATATGCAAAAGAAATAAGAAATCAGGAAGGAGCATATATTCATATATATCGAAGTACATCGATTGCTGCTTCCACTCTTCATAGCCTGCATGCAGCTCTCCATGAATTCATTCCCAAAGAAAGATGAAGTCTTTAAGTGGTGTTTGGTAAAGAAGATTTTAGGAAATACTTTTAGAACATCTGAGGATGAAGCCACTTTCAAGTATGGATTTGACTGCTGCATTAGTCCCTGTATAGCAAAAGCAAGGAGCTAAACCAAGCTCAGTCACCATATTAAGCGGAGTCGTGTGTTAGGTAGTGTAACGGTGTGGAGAGGAATGTTACATGTTAAGTTTTGGATATAAAGACATATATAGATTATCGGGTTGTTAACATTGATCTTCATGTTTTACAAAAATCATGTAAACTCAACAGAAATATATTAATTGTTTTTGTGTGTCTTCTCTCGCTCTGTACTGCAGTTTCCCAATCTGGTGTATGGAGCTGTGGCCTCCTCTGCTCCAGTCAAGGCAAAGCTGGACTTTTCTGAGTATAACAACGTAATACGACACAAACCATGGTCACAGGATTTAATATCACCATTCATTTAATTATTATTGATTTCTTTGTGTTTTCATCGCTGACTCTTATGGGCTGAATGTGTTTTTCACCATCAAAGAAGTAACTGTGATCAAGTCCAGTTTTTCCCTTCTGATGTCAGTACACCACAAAGGTTCCTCCATAACCAGGACTTGACCTTAGGTTCCTCTGTTGTACCTACATCCCTCCAAACAGCTAAGGTGTCTACTGAAGTTCATTTCCTTTTGAATCACATATCTGCCCTTTCCTCTATTTCAGGTTGTTGGCTTGAGCCTGTTGAATGAGGCAGTTGGTGGCTCAGAGAAGGTGAGAAGTCTGCCACCATCTGTGCATCATGTGTCAGGGATTAGATTTTAGTCTGTTACTTTTGTCTGTTAACTTCACACCATCCACTTCCCGCAGTGTCTGTCTAAAGTGCGTGAAGCGTTTGCTGCAGTGAAAGAAGCCCTGATGAGTGGAAATATCAACCAGGTAGCCTCAGACTTTGGATGCTGTCAAATCCCCAAGGATCCTTATGATCAGGTGATGACATGCTTTGATGGACACCAAGCTCTTGTTCACGCAGTTCTGTTCATTTTTTGCTTTTTAAAAAAATTTAATATATACTTTTTTGTGATAACTTTCTTTTCCCACTGTATGCTGGTAATAAGCTGTTTGAACCTTTGCAATCATGTGAAAAAGAAAGCGCAGCTTTATTTTAAACCTGTCTACAGTCTTTCTGTGATAAACATAGGACAACTGTCAGGTATATTATTGCATTTTATTGCAAAGTTCAACTTGATGGTAAAATGCCAAAGCTGTAGTTGCGAGACCTTCACTGCAAAACATAATATGGTACTTGTCCAGTATAGAGTGTTGCTCTCTTGCTACATATATTTAAACAAATATGGAGGTTAATTCAAAATTATTCATTTGCCTATCACGGCTGCCGGGGCGAGCCGTGTGGTGAAGGAGGAAACGGACCCAAAATGCAGGCAGTGGACTGGTGATGAGAGAGACAGGTGGGCAACACACCTGGGAGAAATCGGAGCTGACGGGACAAGGGAAACGTAAACTGAACACACTCACATGAGACGGGGACCTTCAGAATAAAACAGGAAACTCAGACACAGAGAACCAGACATGACACTGAACTAAACAGACAGATTCACAAGCAGACAGTGTGACCAGGGCAGGCACAGAACAGAAACCTAACAAATGGCAAATCATAACAGAATACATACTCAGAATAAACAAAAGCATAAAGAAACACAAAACACTGAGTCAGCAGACTCAGGACCATGACATTGCCTGCCTAATGAAGAGCTATGGGTCACTGAGTCCAGACTTTACTGAAGAGGGTGCTCAAAATGGGAGTCATGACATGAGGTTCAAAAACTGGAACTTAAACCGTGTACTGTCAACAGTTCTTCTTGTGGACCGCCGTGTTAGCCATTAGGTGTTCTGTATGTACTAGCATGATCCTTTCTGAGGCCAGAAAACAGAAATGAAAAAAAACAGCAACAACAAAAGCTAACCCCAAAAAGCAGAAGCAGTGTGTAGAGCACACGCCATGATTTATTAGCTTGTAGAACCACTTTTAGCAGCAGTAACTTGAAGTGTCTGTTTTCTGTATGTCTTTTTCAAGCTCTCACATTGTTCTGGTGGAAGTGTGGCCCACTCTTCTTTGCAATGTTGATTCAGTTGTTTGAAGTTTGCAGGCATTTATTTATGCACAGCCCGCTTAAGGTCCCACCATAGCATTTCAATTGGACCAGTGGTCCATTCCAGCACTTTGATTATTTGCTTTTTCAACTATTCTGCTATAGATTTGCTGCTGTGCTTGGGATCACTTTCATATTTCATAACCCATTTTCAACCAAACGTTATCTGATCTGTCACACAGATAAAGAGAAAGTAGCTTTCTGAGGAAGCAGCCCTTCCAAATAATGTCCTGATAATACCCTGATGTGTAAAACCTGAACTGAAAGAGGATGCAAGCCTCCTTTACTTTTCACATTCAATATAATGTGGCCACTAAACTGCTGGCCATAGCAGTTCATGGCTTCTCCAGATCCCTGGGAAAGGTCTCTTTTTAGACCTAGCCCTGCTTTCACAGTCCAGGTCAAATGAAAGAGTTTTTTTAAGTAGTAGTATACATAAAGTGGGCTTAATTATTTGCCTACTTGTATTGACTGCGTGTGGGCTGTCAAAGTGTTTAGGCTGGTTAACAAACACTGTACACAGATTCAACTTTTCATGTTAATCTCTTGTTACCATTTATTCATTACTTTTAACTTTCCATTAATATCATTCACTTTTTAGTATTTATCATCTAAAGTTAACAAGTTATTTACTGTATGTTCATTAGTTTAAGCATTAAATTTGCTCACTAAATCTATTTTGCTCTCTTATTTGAACACTGGGCTTCAAATATTAGTGTACTTTTCCACTTCTTTAAGTTGCTTGAAGACATTTCACCTCTCATCCAAGAAGCTTCTTCAGTTCTAAGGTCAAATGGTGGAGAGTCCCAGATATAAACCTAGTGGGAGTATCCCCCCACAGAGGGACAAAAGGACCCCCTGATGATCCTTTAATCGCCTGAGCCAAGGTGTGAAACTGGGTGTGGGTCCCAATCAGCCAGAGTTTCGGATGAGTTCATTGTGAAACCTGGCCCCACCTTATCATGCGAATTCCTGAGGTCAGATGGCCCAGGATGTGAGTGGGCGTTAAGGCGTCTGGGAAGGGAACTCAAAACTGGATTATAGATGGCAGAGAGTTGGTGTCGTAAACCGTCTTCAAGCAATTTAAAGAAGTCCAGACGCTTTTCTTTACAAGCTCCTTTGACTACGATGACCTGGATGACTGAGAACCTTCACAGACATACTTTTCAAATTATTTCCACGTAGTCTCCTAGTTGGCAATCAATATTTTTCCTCATTTAATCCTGTTTTCTTTCTCTTTAACTCTTTCCTTTATTTGTATCCATCTCTTTCCAGTTTTTATGCAAGTGGACAATAACATATTCCTTTACTTTAGATTGAGCTGATGGAAAGCTTGGCCGACATTTTCATGGGAGCAGTGCAGTACAATGAAGAGGGGGTACTCATGTCGATAAATGAGCTCTGTGGCATAATGACCAACAACAGCCAGGAATATCAGGATGGGATGGAAGCCTACAACCGCCTTGTTAAACTCTCACAGGTATGGAGAACAGAGCAGGCTCCTTCTTCCCCTTTACATGTCGATATGTGGCCACCAGATGTCACTGTTGAGCCATTTTCCTGTATGTCTGCTGTCCCTCTCAGAGCTAAAACCAAGCAGTGCAAGCATTTGTGATTCCTTTATGCCTTTACCTTTATGCAACTCCCACAACATCTGTCTACTAGTTTTGTTTCTTTTCTTTTTTGTCTCTTTGCATGTGTTTCTGCACTTGACAGATTTACCGATTCACCAGTAAGGAGCCGTGTTTGGACATCTCCTATGAGAAATCAATGAAGGATCTGATGGACACGTCAGTCCATGCCGGCAGAAGAGGAGAGAGACAGTGGACCTACCAGACATGCACTGAATTTGGCTTCTGTACAACACAAACACACACAGACACTTGTTTTCATATATTAGCGTAATTAGCATAATTAACATAATGCTTTCCCTAGCTGCGTACTCTAACCATCAGAAAATGAATGCCGAACCCTTAGCCTAAACCTAACCATAACCTAATTGTAACCCTGACACTAAAACGGCATTTTGAGCCTGGAAAATGCCTTCAATCTTGTGGAGATAGGCATCTTGTCCCCATAAGTGACTGTTGTCCCCCACAAGTATAGTGGCATGCCAATTTTCTGTCCTCACAAAGTCATGTAGACGTGTACACACACACACACACACACACACACTAACACTTCTTTATCATACGTGATTTTTTTCTTTTCACGTTTGTAGACCAGACTTGTGAGGACGCCACTTGTCCTTTCTCTGGGATGTTGACCCTGCAGGATCAGACTAAGCTCTGTACCACGCTGTTTGGTATTTCCCAGCATTCCCTGCCTGCTCGCATCGCCTTCACAAACACTTACTACGGAGGAGACAACCCCCACACACACAGAATCCTTTATGTTAATGGTGAGAGTGGGTTTGCTACAGACAAAGTCAACACATTTACAGAGAAAATACAAAAGTAAGGCGAGACAGAGAATACCGCCTTTTCTTACATATTTAGATAACCAGCAGGGCTGCAGCACTTTCTTGACTGTTGAAGACTTTTTTTATCACTTCCACAGGAGGAATCGACCCGTGGAAGACGCTGTCGGTGGTGCAGGACGGGACTGAGGAAGGAGAGGAGGCCCAGACAATTTTCATTAAGGACACTGCGCACTGCGCTGACATGTCGAGTAGAAGAGTCACAGACCGCAGCTCGCTCACGAAAGCCAGACAGGTACCCACGCCTCACTGAGAAGTTTTCAATCTGAAAAGCATTTTTCAGAGCAGCTTCACACACCAGTCAGTGCTGTAATCCTTTAAAGCATATTTTCCTCTCTTTCCATGTCTGTCTTAAAACAGCACAGAGGTGCGCTTGAAGAGTAAACAGATCCTATCCTGACGTTATTTCAGCCTAAGAAACAGAGGACAAAATCCACAATGCCCACATTTTCAAGTAAAATTCAAATCAGTGCATTTTACCTAAAGTTTTAGCTATTTTTGAACTTAAATTAAACTTCCAAACTTTAGAAGTAGAACATCTGATATGAGTTAACAACAAAGATGATGCACTCTCTAGTCAAATACATGCAACTGCACATTGCTGGTTAATTACATTGCAGCATTTACACCATATATTTCCAGAGCGTGCCTTGTCTCTTTTAAAGAGAAATGAGGTAATTCCAGCTTTAATAACTGTCAGAGTTGTAAAATACTGCCTCGTGATACAATAAACTATACTGTGAAAGTGTCAGTTAAATGCTGGAATGCATTTTTACACAGTATTGTGGATTTTGTCCTGCATATATATAGATATATAATCTATAAATCTCAAATTAGTTGTGATTTATATATCATAGTGCACAAAACAACCACTTAAGTGCTGCTTGGTGGTGCACAATCACAAATCAAGTGCTTACTGCACTCTTGCAAATCACACATTGCAGGCTTCCCATATCAAAACCAGCCTTTTAAACCACATACTAACCCAGGAAGCACCTTTGCTTTGCGGTATAGTGTGGTAACAATCCTCAAGCAGTTGTAGCATTAGAAACATGAAAAACCTTAATGTATGTCTGCCTTTCTTTCTCATCTTTCCACCTCTCAGGAGATTGAAAAACACGTGGCTAACTGGCTAAAGGCAGCTGCCCAGGAGAAGCTGGAGAAAGGAACGTCCTGATCAGATCACATTATAACCCGATCAGCCCTTATCACCCACGTCTGCAGCTGATAAGAAATAGTTAATAATCTGTCCTCCGCCTCCTCCTTCTCCTGCTCATCATCTTCCATTTCCTCCCTCCTGTTCTCTGCCCCTTTGCTGTCCATCTATAACAATCTCACAGCACAGAGGCCGATCTGTGTATTTATGTGTTGTGCTTTTCGAGATTTTCCTCTTATGTCTTTATTTTGGACTTTGTGCTGAACATTTCTGATGTTTAGGCTGATTGAGTTTTTAGAGGTTTGTGTTCTTAACAGCCATTTCTCACTGATTAATTTTTAAATGGTGCTAGTAAAATAAAATGTTTTTCGTTTTTTTTTTAGCTGAGTTTTGTTTTTGAAGTATTCCTCAGTTGTCATAACCATTAAGTGTCACTAGGGTGTGATATTGCTACATGATGAAAACCATTTCTTGAGGCGCTGCTATCAAAGTCCTGAGTGGCTTATTTGTTGTTTTTGATGAAATACAGTAAGCATGCGAATCTCAAGCATTTGGCTCTGATGTCTTTCTTTCTTTTTGCTTACATTTGTTAAAATCAATGAACTTCTGCGGATGTGATGAGATGGAGACTGTTTGTGACAGAAAGGTGAGGAAATTGTCCCAAGGCCATCTGTTTCCTTGTTTGTGTGTCTGTGTGTGTGTGTGTGTGTGTGTGTGTGTGTGTGTGTGTGTGTG